ATTCTGTAAATACTTCTGTGTGGAAACTTGTAGACCTTTAGTAAAGTTTTGTCTGCCAGCAATGTCTTTTCAATTAAACTGCACTTTCTGTTTTTCCTTTAACTTTAAACTTAAATTCTGGGGGGGGGGGGTTTCTTAACATTTGCCCCAAAATAAAGGGCATGATGGAGTTGAAATATATGAATTTCTAAAATGTTTTACAACATAAAGGCTTAAAAAAATCATTAAAAACAAATCTTTCCAGTTTTAGTCCTGTGTCTATGTTAATTGCTCATTTATCTTTTATTTGCCAAATAACTCCTGAAAAACCCCACAATATAATATTTATACACCTGAATCTGTGTTGTCTTGTCACTGGTTGATGATGCACCCTGCTCTCAGGTTATTCTGTTTCCAATGATATGACTCGCTTTTTGACTCCCTCACAGTGACTTCATTCGAATGGTAGACAGGGACCTACACTGACTGATTAGTCGTATAAATCTCCAGGTTAAGGTGGTGGAGAAAGGTTATCAACAACAGGCTGTCATAACTTTCCATGTTGAGCTATAAGTTACTGTCAACTCCGCTGTGTGATACTATCAGCACGTTTGACTACTGTAAATAACAAATGTCTTCCATTGCTTGGCGTACACCTAAAGATGTGTCTGTGGACAGAGAGAGAGAAACATAATTAACTGTGGGAGACAAAAAGGACAATGTTAGTGATGTGTAGTACCATAAATAAGGTCGGGGCACTGTGATGGAAAAATGAAGAGATGAGTGCACTGCATAAAGGGAGTTCCTGCAGCAGTCTAGACCTATAGCAGCATAATTAAGGGATGGTTCAGGGCTCATCTGATCCAGCCCCAAAGAGGAATGTTTTAAGTCTAACCTTAAATGTCGAGATGGTGTCTGCCTCCCCAACCTAAAGTGGGAACGGGTTCCACAGGAGAGGAGCCTGGTAGCTGCAGGCTCTACCTCCCATTCTACTACAAACTACCAATCACAAGTGAGCCTGTAGTTTTGGTAGCTGAAGTCACACAATGAATCCCTTTTATTTTTTAGGGGAGAGGCAGCTGTGAAAAGTTCCTCTAGGTTAAGAGTTTGCAGAGACATAGAATACCATAGTGGCAGGAATGTGATAACCTCTGGAATCTGCTTGACAGAACACAACTGTTTCCATCTGAAAAAAATAAAATAATTTTTTAAAATATTAAGTGGTTAAAATCAGTGTAACAATGAATAGGTAAAAAGATCAAATTTGATATGTAAGTACCACACTGTCAGTGTGTGTCTGTGTCCTTTCCTCTGAAGGCTGTTATAAAGTTGAATGTGATCTCAACTGACATGGTATTAACTAATACATGCTGATGCTGCATCCACACTGAACATTCCCTCAGACTGATATCAGGCTGATGTTAGGACTTGCCCTGCATTCTCCTTAAATGTCATGTCGCCATAGGCCAGGTGTCAGAAGAACTCAGTAAAGAGGAGTTTTTCCACAGGAAACTATGCAACCCTTTTGTATCACTCTCACTGGTAGGTGATGATATATCACACCCCTTCTAGGTGCTTGCTTGCTTCCTTCCTTTCTTCATTTTGATTAATGTATTGCAATAATATTGTTTTTTTCTGCACTTGAATCCATTTTCTTTAGGCTATGTGTAGGGTAATTGTGTAGGATTAATGTCTGTTGCAGTACCATATGCTCTGCTCAGCTTTTTTTTTTTAAAGGGATGTGTCTTGTTCCAATTAAAGTTAATGCTTAATTAGTAAAATACTAATATACATCATCAATTCTATGCTCTGTTTATAAAGTTCATATCTGTAATTTAAAAAACATACATTTATTTTTCATGTAAATTATTTTAAAAAATATAAAAAAGAATACAAATAAAAGCTTACTTTTAATTTCAAGTAAAAATACATTCAAGATGATAAATGAGAGAGAACATGAATTTTGTTTTTGGTTTACTTAAGCACATTGGAAAAAAAGGGACATATCCCTGTTTTATCCAATTTAAACTACAGCTAGTCTGAACTGTGATGCCATCTTCCACCCAATGTTCCTGGACAGTTGCCATTTTAGTCCGAGGCACCACAGGGAGCCTCCTGCTTCACCATCTGCTACAGCAACTGCACGAGCATGGACCGGGGGGGTGATGCACACCATCACCAGGTGTGAGCTGTACTGAACTATACACACACACAGTGTAAACATGTAACAGTGTAGTATTCAGCCTTCACAGTTTTTACGTGCTATATATCCATTTGTTGTTATTATTACTTATTGTATTGAGTATTTGATTATTATGTATTTATTTTGTAAATACACATTTAATGTGATTGCTGTATATTTATTTTGTATCTTTTATCTGGTTATCTGTATTTTATTATTTAAAATGCAGTGCAGTTTAAGCTGCAAAGAAACGTAAGAAGAGCTTTAAAAGACAGACAATCAGTCACTCAGTAAGTTTCCCTTAACTTTCTACTTAACTGCCCAACCGGAAGCTACGAATCGGATACTAACCTCATCTGCCTGCATCAGCTGCTTGTAGTTTAACCAGTGCTCAGAACTACGAACGCCCTTGAATGCGGCAGCGGTTGCTGGACGTCTGTCTGCACGTCAGTTTTACGACAGTCAACAAGTGAACTGTGCTTTACGGTGGAGCATGGCGTCCCACAGATGAGCTGTCTGAAGGACTGAGAGACGGAACAGATTATTTCGGCAGCCCTCGGTGAAGCCTGTCGCCTTCTCCCTCCTTCCTCTCCACAAGCATTCTCCGCTGCGTTCAGGTCCAGGTGGTGAGGACCAGCCATCAGGAGACGCCATGGCGGCGCAGGGAGGCATTCAGTTCCAGGAGAAGGTCAGCAGGCTGCTCAGCAGACACAAGGGGAAGCCGGTGCTGAAGCCCAACAGGACTTTGGCTCTGAGAGATGCTGTAGCCAACCGTAAACTTCAGAAAGGAGGTAAGAGTCCGAGGCCCTCCGAGACACCACGCAGCAGCAGATACAGCTGATCGAATGACGTAGTGTATATGGTTTATTGGCGTCTTATTATTATTGTGGATGTAAAGTATTAACATCAACACCGGCGACGGCTCGTTTCACCTAAAGCACTTTTGATAGTCTTGTATATAAATGGCTCCGCCTTTTCATCCTAATATATCTGTATTATAATTATTATTTATTTATTTCAGTTTTGCGTCTGTTGCGTCTTAGAAACGTCACCGACAGCCACTCGCTGGCGGTGAATCCTCCAAATGACGCTGTGTTCTCACATGAGCTCACCTGCGGGGTTCACACATCGACCTGGATCTCCACATGAGGGGGTCAGGCGGATAAAGTCTGCAGAAACGGCGGAGCGAGAGCCTCCCACTCATTTGTGTTCATGTACAGAAAGCCCCTCTGAAGACTGAGTTCAGTGCATGTCTGAAAGCAGCCTTGGAGAGTTTTATTGCACTTAAATACTGATAATGCTCTGTAACTTTCACTGCAGGCCTACATGTGTAGTGTGTTCATCACTGTTACTACTGGTCTGTTAATTCAACGTGAATAGAAACCCATGTGTTTAAGGTTTCAGCCTGGATCCTTCTGATCTCCCTTCTCCAAGCCAGTTGGGAGCAGTTGTTCCAAAGAACTGTGGTTTGTTTTTGAGTACCTCTCAGTATTCAAACCAGTGAGTCAAACACCAGTCAGTTTTCCAAAGAGGAAAATAATCAATAAGCTCACATTTCCTAAGATATAACATTGATGGCAAAACCTGACCTCACACAGCAGTATTACTATTTGTATATAATCATGAATTTAAATCGGGTCTTTTTATTGAAGACTGATTGAATTACAAACTGGTGGCACCTGACAACTGATACGCAGATGTTTGCTCTGAAAAGTAGTCCCTAAAGCACATTTGGGTGAGCTTCACATGCATTTACCTAAACATCAAGTGACAGAGTGGTGTGTCTCTTTGTTGGTTAAATACAGCTGAATGATTAGCAACAAATACAGTTCCTTGTACATCATGTTAAGACACTGCTAATCATGGAAGTTCTATATCAAGTTTGATTAAGTGTAATGTTTTCTCTCCACAGAGGCCTCCTGTATCACAGAGATGTCAGTGCTGATGGCTTGTTGGAAGCAGAACACCTTTGTGGACGGTCTGTGCTCTAATGAGATCAACACATTCTATGCCTGTGTGAAGGAGGCTCAGGTATGTTCACATAGGCCCTGAAGTGACCTTTGTTTCCAATGAGAGCTGGGAAATGACTCATTTACAGGGAGCATCACTTTATAAGCACATTAACTCATATCTTTACATATTAGGGTGATAATTGGTTAAAAAATGATAACAATATTAAACTTGATATACTTGCATCTCTACACTTAATATGACAATATGGCACACAAAAAATCAAATCAGATCTCAGCATGCAACTTTAAGTACAATGCTTTGTTAACTCATTGAAAACTGCATACGCTACACATCCATTTCTTAGTCTGTTTACAATTGAGATGACTTTGCAACAGACTGTATTAGGTCAAATATCATATAACAGAGTCAAGCTATTTTCTGAGGGTACACACAACAACCACCCTCTGCTTTTCCATCTCCACATAAAGTAACATATCTAGGGCTGCAAGATACTCTCATTTCACAACTGATTATTCTGCCCATTATTTTCTCCGTTAACTATTTGGCCTGGTCAACATCAGAAGAAATTTAAAATGCTCATCATAGTCTCACAGAGTTCAAGGTTAGCTTTTGAACTAATGACAGAAGGATTTCAACTTCAATCTGTGTATCGTTCAGTCTTTTTATATTCAATTAGAAAAACAAAATCAGAAAATAAATTTAATTATGTAATTATTTCGTTATTCATTTATGTATGATACCAAAAAACAAATAGTGGTTTGTTTTTTGCTCAGATTAAAAATAGGAAATGAAAAAATGGATCACAGGCCGAACTTGATTTTGATATTTAATATTTAGTATCAGCGTGGATAACTCATCTAGCATGCCAGTAACACACCAGACCTGCTTTTCCTTCCAACGCCCACCCTAACCCATATGTGAAATCACAGCCCGCTCCAGTTCTGTGTCTGATAGATGTCTTTTTCGTTTAAGGTCGTGCTTAACACAGAATCTTCTAACACTCATTTCAGAGCATCGCTGGACAGTGTTGTCACACTTAAAAGAACTAGTTCAAAGTTCAGTTCATGCAGAGGAAAATTAACTAGTGCACGTTCATAGTTCAGTTTTTAATTGGGATGACCAACTTACGATCATGTGGTAAGTTTTTTTTCATGATGTTTAAATGCAGTCTCATAAACTCTGGAGCGAATCAAACAAACACTGATTTACTTCATCAGGTCCTGATAACTAGTGATGAGTGTTTATTAGTTAAAGTGAGAGCAGGTCAGAGTGGAGGAGGAAACAGAAACTCCAGCTTGATACAAACCAACTGCAGCTTCTGCTCTGATCATGAAGCAGCTTATCACTGAGCAGCTGTGACCAGAGAAACTCTGTGTTTCACTGTTCTTCAACTAAGTCTGACCTGCAGCTTCACGAACGAGCTCTGATCTCAAACATATGAGGTAAGGGTGGGCGGTGGAAGGAAAAGGGGGTCTGGTGTGTTACTGGTATGCTAGATGAGTTATCCATGCTGATACTCTAAATATCTGAATATCAGAATCAAATTCAGCCTGTGACCCGTTTTTCATTTCCTACTTTTGATCTGAGCAAAAAAAATCCATTTTGGTTTTCTAATTGATCATGAAAAGAGCTTATGATACACGGATTAACTTTGATCTGCAAGATCAAATTTCACATATTTGTGTAAACTCATATGTTGTTCAAACTCATCAGTTCTTGAATATTTTATGAACATGGCTGATAGAGTAACCAGCCCTACTCATCAGTCAGACTCAGGGTTGTTTCGTTGGGTAAATAAAAAGTGTTCCCTTAAGGTGGCTGTGGCCGAGGGGTAAGGCGGTCGTCGTACAACCAGAAAGTCAGCGGCTCGATCCCAGTCTTCTGCATGCCGAAGTGTCGTTGGGAAAGATAATGAAACCTGGATGGCTCTCATAGAAAAAAACTGTACTGCCCATTGATGCACTGTGTGAATGTGTGTGTGCACTTTGAGTGGTCATCAAGACTAGAAGCATAGACTAGAAGCATAGACTAGAAGTATAGACAAGAAGTATAGACAAGAAGTATAGTATATATAGAAAATATATATATTATATAGTATATATAATTACAGACCATTTACCATAAAAATGACTGACTCTCACTGCCGGGTATTTCCAACAGGTTACTTAAATTGCTAAAAGCCATTTACCTTGTCGTCATTGTCTTATGTTTTATGTTAAGTCCCCCTTTGGTCCAATTGGTCAGCAGGTATCACTGATTGTTTTTGTGGAAACCTCGCTCGAAGATTAAGATTCCTCTTTATGGTTCCACACACAGCATGCAACATGCAAACATGGGGAAATTTGATCTCTGTATTTAACCCATCCATGTGAACGGAGCACAAACGGAACACACGGAACCACACAGTGACCACACACGGAACAGTGGGCAGCCATGAAGGCGCCCGGGGAGCAATTGGGGAGTTCGGTGCCATGCTCAAGGGCACCTCGGCAGTACCCAGGAGGTGAACTGGCACCTCTCCAACTTCCGTCCATGCTGGATTTGAACAGGCCACCCTCCGGTTCCCAAGCCAAGTCGCTATGGACTGAGCTACTGCCCCCCTCTATTGTGCTAAATCATTATTTGCTCAACACTGAAAAAGCCAGACAAGAATGTCTGCCTCTCACCTCATCATCGCCACCACTCTGAGTGCTTCCCCACTGAGGTAATAAACACGTGTCTCATTGAAAAGCTCTGGTAATAAATGATCTTCCTCCTTCACAGGCAGCTGCGAAGAATAAATCGGAGCAGAACAGCACCCAGGGAGGACGTCTGCATCCAAAACTAGCCACAAGCTTGTTGAAGAGATATCCTAACATCCGTACTGAGATCTAGAAAACCAGCTCCGAAGCATTTATTGTATTATGTGGACTTACTGTGCAGGTTGAAACAGCCCACTGGACTGAGTCCTCAAACTGGACTTCACCGTGTTCAAGTGTTCAGAGTTGTCATTGTTCGAACAAGTAATGTCATAATCATTTATCGAATAAATATTGCATGAAGCAGACCAGGGTGATTTCATCACAAACTCACTGCACCTCTCTTTTAGCATTTGATTTTTTTTAAGGTTATTCAATTATTGGATTATTTTATATTCAATTATTATCTTCCAGTTTTCTGGTACAGCTTTTGTATTCACAACGCACAGGTTTGAAATATAATGTGACTTTCTCTTGTGTCCTTTATTGACATTGATGAAAATGATGCCATCTTGACTCAACCCAATTTACCTGAATGATCTCATTCGGTGCAGAGATGTGATTAGTGGATGTGATGCAATTATTCTTCTTCAGTTTCATGGCTCTTAGCCGGGAACTTATCACTGAACACTTAAATGCCTCATTGCTCTTGTGGAAACTGAGACTGCTGGTAAACAGATGCTGACCTAAAATGAGCCTATCAGTCAGACAGTGTTACACAGACAGTTACCTGTAAGCAAAGCTTAGCGTAGATGATGTGGAACAGTTTTTGATCAAACCATAAATCTGTGTCTTTTTTTTCTCTGCCTGTTTCCCAGGGTCATGTCATATATGCAATAACGTCAAGCCTACTTTTTGAGTCTGTGGTGTGGTCACATGCATGTGACAAAATAAGGTAGTCTCCAAAAACTAAGTATAGCTGTTTTCAGACACAAAGTCTAGTTTGCTTTTCTTACATGGAGTTCTAACAAGGCGGCTGGCTGGAGAAAGTCCTGAGATTCTCCAGAGTTGTGCATGTCTGAAAGCAGCTTATGACTGCAGATTTTTCTGTACACTATTTCCCATTATGCAATCTGCAAAGAATGAGGTGTTAACAGCAAAATAAATGATCAGAGTAAAAGTATTAATTATATTAAACAAATTGTCAGTGACAATTCCCTATGAATGTGGTTCATGGTTAGATAACAAGCCTTAATCTGTACTCACCGTAATACCAGCATTTCTGGACATTGCACAGTGCATCACTTTTGTCTTTGTCATTCAAAAGTGTCAATTGATTTATTATTTCGTTGATGGGTATCTATTATATATGAGGCTTGGCAGCTAATTGTCAAACAGCTGCAGCTTCAATGCAAGAAGTCTCCTTATCACACCAAGACACAGGCACCATGGTTGTTATACCTGCCATCAGGACATTTCTTGAAATGAAGAGCTGTGGATCCGTCAGAAGCACCAACCCTGTGCATAGTGGGCAACCTACAACCTGCCCCTGAGCCACATCTAATACATGACAAAACTCGTTCAAAAGCAGTTATATAAATCATTTCACAGGCTGAGGTATTGTCATCTAAAGCAGTGGAATGAAGCAAACCTTTGATCTGAGACGGAGTCTCTAAAAATAAATGTAAATAAAAGATGTTGACATTTTTCTATTATAACTACATTATTAGTGTATATATACACATACATATATCCTGGAACAGTAAAGCTACATCACTTATTTGGACATTTTCCATATATGGTCAGGCAGTTGTTTTTTTATTCACAAAAATATATGTTTCCACCTCCATGGCGCTGATCAAATTAAAAAGTCGGCTTCAAAACGGCAGTTGACAAACCAATGGGTGACGTCATGATAGGTTGCTAATTGTGTTTAGGTCATGTGTGATTGATTAACTTTTTGAAAGAGCTGAGCAAAACTTCCCCCACTTCCATTCTCTGTTCTGAAATTGGTTAAATCTCACATACTTAGATAAAACACCATATCACTTATCTTAGACTAGAAACAAGCTTGTTTGAAGTTGAACTGTTGCTTTGATGTTTCATGCTTTTTTTAACAACCTTCCCTTTCTAATTCTTTCCTGTGTTTCCCAGTTTCACACTATCTTTTCAGGACATAGTTTGTCTCTTCGGTTTCATGTTTTGTCTGAAGCACAGGAAGGGTTTTGTACAATGTTTTTGTTTTTGTTGTGCCCCCATTTATCTGCCCTTCATTACAGAACCATTTCCTACCCTGCTTATCACCTTGTCCCAAATGTCTAGACCACAGACGAAACTGCTCCATAGCCCGGAACAATCACTCAACCACTTACTCTTACATGCATACATCCTCAGCCTGCATATTAAGCTGATATATATAGGTATGAGATAACAGTAGCTGATTATTATCTCACAGAATGATACATTTAAATCCACTCTACCCTTGAAAAATATGTGGATGAAATTTGAGAGACAACAATCATATTATTTCTATGAGTCCGGCCTGAGGTTTGCATCAAAGGAAAGACCATGGTGCTGCACATATGAAAAATGTTATGTAAATATTAAAACTTTTTTGCACCAAATAATAAAACTGATACCATGTAAAAATCCCACACATGGCTTATAGTCCCAAACCTCCCACTCCTCCAACCCAACATGGACACACCAAACCTTTAAAGAAGTACACACTCAGATGCCATGAATGTGAGAAAAGCAATGTGATATCAATCCTGAGTAAGTTATACTGATATGTTTTTTTTTAATCTGTGAAACATCCTTGGCAAACAGTAACCTGGGTTCTGTGCAAGTCTCTACATCATCGGACATGTTGGCCAGTTGTGCAACATCATGACATTATTATGTCACACACCCTTTCCTCGAGAGCTCCTGTCAGCCATTGATCTTATTTATAGTAGTTAAAGAAACTGCCTTTAATTTTGGTTAGGGGTATTTAATGTGACAGAATACTTAATTAATCAAGCAGATAATACTGAATCCATTTTCCTTTCCACCTAACAAGTTGTTAATTAGGGGTGTTGTAGAACCCTATGAAAACATTCTTCTGAGGCTCTGTCTTCTTTTTTTAACAGACTGGTGGTGAGGCTATTTAAGGGGCAAGTAAGGTCTATTGACATGCTGTTGACTTTCAATATGGGGAATGTATATCACTATCTCAAGGCCACCCTTTAATAAAAGGAACTAGGTCACATCGGGTATACCAATACAGATGCAAAACATAAGAGTACAACACCATTGATCTATTGTGTGTTCCATGTTATGACGCTGTAAACACAGTAGGGCTGCAGGGATTTACTCTAAACACTGACCATGGAGCTGCAATCTACATCTACATTTTTAGATCAGTATTGACATTGCACCATGACACATTCTCTGACTCTTGTTGTTGAGGTCACCAGCATGGACTATACACCATGAAGATCTATCGTTTGAATCTTTTAAAGAGAATTTCAGGCTGTATTGGATTTTGTGGATGAATGAATGGACGTGAAGTGCAAGGATGAAGATAGATAATGAATGTCTCTGTTAGGCTGCTCTGGGAGGATTTAATGTGGAATAGATGGATGGAGACTCAGTGTCTGTCTCAGGCAAATTTCTGCCCAAGCAGATGTTGGGCACCAGACAAAACCTAAGGAGAGACATGAGAGAAATATGCACTAGAAGGGATGAGGAAAGGAAGGATAAAGGGATGTAGGCTGACCACGTAAAAAGGGTTGAAGGATAATTTGAGGAGTGATCAAGGCGTGGTCCTGTTCCTGAACCTAACTTCAATTATAAACTTCATTAGTAGTAAGATTGATTTCCAAAAAACTGGAAAAGCACATTCCTCAAACCAATGCTAACGCCCTATCACGCCATGTTAAAGTAGGTGGAAAAACATTCCTGAACCTGCCCGTTTATCCATATTCAGTTTAAGGGTTCTTCCTTTTGTCACGCTCCACAAAGTTTTATGGAAATTGTGAGTAATCCTGCTAACTAACAAATACATAATTTCCTTGGGGAGGCAACAAATCAAGAAGTTGCAGTGACTGCTTTTAAAAATCATCTCAGATCCTGGAGATGCGCTCTTTTTTTTTTTTGTCCTAATCCATGAGATTTCATTCAGGAAATTTGTCAGCTGTTTCTTTGGGATCTGGATAAAATGCTTTAAACATCTGAGGCTTCTTCCCCAGTGTTACAATTACGATTAAGCTTTATGGTGAGGCGTATAGCTCACCGGGCTATGCCTCACCCGTAGCGGCCTGGGTTCAAATCTGGCCTGCAGCACTTTCTGCATATCTTCCCCCACTCTCTGTTTTCCCCCTTTCACAGCTTGCTCTCTGTCCTCTCCAAAAATAAAGAAAAGCCCCAAAAATGTTCTTGGTCGATGTATCTGGCTTGAGGATTATAAATACAACAGTAACAAACCACATCTTCCTCCCCACAGTTGAACAAACACTCTCAAAAATAGATTTAATACAAAGTGGCACCTAATGAGAGAGGATTCTGTTAGGGTTTGAAGTACTCTGTCTATATCCCTTTGTTTTCTCCTGTGTTTTCCCCTTCTGTCCTTCATTTAGTTGTGTGTTTCAGGCTGGTGCGTGACTGACCTAGACTACGTTCACATGAATCTTCCCTCTATATGACCCAGATCTGATTGTTTAATGACAGCGTGAACAGCACAAATCACATGGAATCTGGTCTGTTTGAAATCATATCAAGTGAAAAATGTAACTGCAAATGCTCACATCTGTGACCTCTATGTTCATTACCTTGATGTGGTCCACATGTGGTTCACATGTGGTTCACATGTGGACCACATAAGGGCCATGACCAGTTATCACTGGAGTCTGATACTGGCCACATTTTAAGATAATGTGAACAGCTACATAAAAATTGGATCTTGAAAAAAATCTGAATTGAGCACTTAGGCTGGAAGATGCCCTTTGCTCAGCCACTCACTAGCCACAGTCCCCTGCTCAACCATTTACCTGCAAACTGTACAATAAACGGTTAAACCTTTCTTCTGTGTTCTGTGTCTGCATTGTGGGTCCAGTCCTTTTTGAACATCAAACGTAACCGATTTAGTTCTAGCCAGGTTTACGTACTAACATCGTTGATGTACTAGCATCAATCGGCAGATCCTGACTTTATTCGGTTTGACGTGTTTGAATGTCTGGGCTCTGGCAGGATGTCATGTCTGTTCAATTCAGAAGTATAATTGATGTCATGAGTCATGGATGATACAGTTAAAGTCAAGTTGAGAGTTGTAGTTCTTGTTAAGGTTGTCTCATCTTGTCCACTCCAGTCTAAATTCTTTTCTGTACTCAAACAGCCAAACTATGTTTTACTCTTATTTTATTGGCACTTTAAGATGGACTCTCGTAAGATGTAAATGTTGAATTATTTACACCTAAATAAGGCATCTAATGCATATGTACATAAGGACTTTTTTCTGGCGTAATCACAGGTCTTCTCAGGACCAGCAGACGGTAAATGAGCAAATGCCTAATGAGGCATCTAAGGTTGTGTGTGTGGTGTGTGTGTGTGTGTGTGTGTGTGTGTGTGTGTGT